GTGACCGAAGAGGGCCCCAGAGGCTCCAGGCCGCCAGGCCGTCGCCGCCGCCGCCACCCCCCCGGGGGCCGCCGCCGCAGCTGCCGCCGTCGTCGTCGCGATGGTCGTCGTGGTGGTCGCCGTGGTGGTCGTGGTGGTAGGGGTCGTTGTCTGCGGACTTGATCGGACGATTGCACGTTCTGGGTCGTGTTTTGCTTTTCCTGAACCCCCTGGGGCCTCCGGACACTGGAGATCTGCGGGGCCTCCAGGGCCCCCAAGGCCTCCCAGGGCCCTTCTGAAACTCCCACAGGCCCCCAAGAGAGCTCTAGAGGACAGCCTGGGAGGGCCACAAGGGGGGCCAAGGGAGCTCCCCCCAGAGCGGCCTCAGAGCCCCCCAAAATCAACACAACTTTAACGCCACGCCGTCCTTGACGAGGAAGCGGTGTGTGTGTGTGTGAAATTTGTGAAAAAATGGAGGTCTTCCTTTTGGGGCCGTCTCGGAGCTCTCTTAGGTCATCTTGGGCACGTCCAGGGCCGTCTGAAGGCTGTATTGGGGACCTTTTGGGCCGTCTCGGGGACCTCTCGGGGGGCCTCTTGAGACGTCGTGGAGCGCTGGAACTCGAAAATTCGAGACCTTCGAAAACACGTAAAACCTAAGGGAAAAGGATTCCCCACCTGTGGTGTTGGGTCCTCGTTTTGAAGAAACAGTGTTCCGCGTTCCATCCTTCCTTCCTCTGCTCCTCCCCCTCCTTCCTCCTCCCATGCTCCCGCTGCCCTCCCCCTCCTCCCGCCCCTGGCATTGTCTTCCGAAAACTTGTCATCCCCATCATGCATCATCATTGCCCCCCTCTTCCTCCTCCTCCTCCTCCTCCTCCTCCTCCTCCTCCTCCTCCTCCTCCTCACCATCCTCATCATCATCAGCATCATAATCCTCATCAGCATCACTATTAGCATCAACATCAATATCATCTTCATCCTCATCCTCATCCTCCTCCTTCTCCTCCTCCTCATCATCACGTCCAGGTCGGCACACTCCTCACACGGTTCGTGGCCCCATACGGAGCTCTACCGGGGGTCCGAGTGACTGCGGCCACATGCGTCCCGCGCATATTTCGGCACACCCCTCACACGCTTCGCGGCCCCAGAAGCATCTCCACCGAAGGCTCCAATAACTGCGTTCACATGCGTCCCGCGCTGATTCGGGCAAACCCCTCACACGGCCCGTGGCCCCATAAGCAGCTCCACCGAAGTCTGCAGACGTACCTCAGTGGCATCAGCGGACGCCTTGGTCTCGATGCCCAGCAGGGCACCGACAACCAGACTTCCCCCAACGAGCCCGAGCTGCGACTTTCTTCGTGGATTCCATGTGTTCTTGTTTGTTTTTTTGCATTGCTGCGATCAGCATCAGTGCGCGCGGCGCCGCGGGACTGCCAGCAAATGCGCGACACGCCGGCGTCCACCCAGGATGGCCGGCTGCGCCTGGAAGTACCTCGACAGGTGGGAAAAATAACCAGGAGAGGCGGAGCAGAGGAGGCCGAGGAGGGAGTGAGGGTAGCCCAGCCGTCAGCATTTCGGCTGTCCCACACGCTGTCCTCGTGGATTTCACTTGGTACCTCCACGCACTTGTCTCGGGGCATCGAGGCATAGGCTCCCTGGTGGCAGGGCTCTTCTGGGGAAGCGCCATGGGAGCTGGCCTGGCGGTTGCCATTGCTAGGGTAACGTTTAACTGGCCATCGCTCGGACGTCCATTCCCTGTGCTTTCTTCGGTTTCGTGCGTGTTTTTTTTGTTTTTTTGCCAAATGATCAAGGATGCTCCTCGATGGTCCTCGCCGAAGGAGAAATGCACACGTCCGAGCGATGCCAAGTTAATGATGCGACAACTTCATCTCCTTGCAAGCACGGGTGGCAATGGCCGAGCACCCTTGCGCCAAGCAGCCAGGTCCTCGGCAGAGGGCACCTTGCTGCGCTAATAAGGGCCCCATACTTGGACCAATAGCGCGCCGAGCCTTACAAAGTATGTGGGTAGCCTCGGCAAGCGTGGGCACGACTTCCAGGAAGCTGGAACACACACGTGGCTGGATCTGCATGTCGAGCATCTGTAGGCAGTGCGCTGGGTACACATGTGGAGGGCCACCGCGCGTGGTCCTACGAGGGCCGAGGACTGGAACGACATCTGACCACATGTGCATCCAACTGTCGCTCAGGCCAGCCGCGTCACGTGTATCTGGCCATATTCCTGGTACCTTCTCGAGCCACATTTGTTCCCATCTTCCTCATCAGCATCACCGTTTTCTCCTTCTCCTTGCCATCTTCGTCGTCCCGCACCAAATCCAACTCCAACTCTAACTCCAACTCGAACTCCAACTCCTTCTTCTCCTCCTCATCCTCCTCCTCCTCCTCCTCCTCTTGCCCCTCGTGATGACCCACTATCCTCCTCATCCTACTCCTCGTGGTGATCCTTCTCCTCCACTTCCTCCTCGTCCTCCTCCTCCTCCTCCTCCTCCTCCTGTTGCCCCTCCTGATGACCCACTGTCCTCCTCATACTACTTCTCGTGGTGATCCTCCTCCTCCTCGCCCTCCACATCATCATCATCATCAGCATCATCATCACCCTCATCCTCATCACCATCCTCATCACCATCACCATCACACTTATCATCATCAGCAGCATCATCATCACCATCACCGTCATCATCATCATCATCATCATCATCATCATCATCATCATCACTATCGTCATCCCCATCATCACCGTCGCAATCATCACCATCTGCAGAAGCATCAACATCATCCTCATCCTCAACAACATCATCATCACCATCAGCATCATTATCAGCATCACCATCATCAACATCGTCGTCGCCATCATCATGCTCAACATCATCATCACCATCATCATTATCGTCATCGTCATCATTGGCGTCATCGTTAGACTCACCATCATCATCGCCATCATTGTCAACATCACCATCACCATCACCATCACCAGCACGATCACCATCGTCGTACTCATCATCGTAAAGGTCATCGTCGGCATCCTCATCGTCATCGTCAACACCAGCATCGTCACCATCACCATCACCATTACCATAATCAACCGCATTAGCATCAGCATCACCACTGTCACCATCATCACCACCATAATTCATCATCATCAGCTGCATCAACATCATACGCATCAATCTCATCACCATCATCACGATCGTTGCCGTCGTCGGCAGCGTTACCGTCATCACCATCACCATCATCATCATCGCCATACCCATCATCATCATCATCATCATCATCATCATCATCATCATCATCATCATTATCATCATCAACATCCTCATCACCACAGTCATCATCATCGTCACTGTTATTACCCACGCCATCATCATCACCAAGGACATAATCATCATCACCATCACCATCATCATCATCATCATCATCATCATCATCATCATCACCATCCGCATCGCCATCATCATTACCATCATCAGCACCAGTGCCATCAGAATGCTTAGCGTCGTCAACAGCATCGTCATCAACATCATCATACCAGTCGCCGTCATCCCCATCGTCATCAGCATCGTCATCACCATCATATACATCACAAGTCACATCACCATTACCAGTGCCATCATCATCTTCATCATCACCATCATCACCCTCGTCAACAGCATCATCATGATCGTCACCGTCGTCTGCATCATCATCATCAGTATCAACATCATCATCATCGTTCTCATCATCATCATCATCATCATCACCGTCGTCATTGGTGGCACCATGACCGATAGCAGCAAGACCAATACCATCATCATCACTGTCACTATCACCGCCACCATCACCACCACCATTACCATCATCATCATTACCGTCATCATCATCACCACCATCGTCGTCATCATCGCCAGCGTCATCATCATAACCATCGTCATCATCATCACCACCATTACCATCATCATTATCATCGTCGTCATCATCATTACCATCGTCATCATCATCAGCCTCGTCACTGGCGTTGTCGTCATCGCCATCATCATCGCCATCATCGTCACCATCACCGTCATGATTGTCATCATCATCGCCATCATCACCATCATCGCCATCATGATCATCTTCACGAACACCATCATCAACATCATCATCAACATCATCGTCGGTCGCCTTTGTCGTCGTCACCGTCACCATCATCATCACCACCATTATCATCATCATCATCATCGTTCTCATCATCATCGTCATTATTGTTACCACCACCATCACCCTCACCATCAACAACAACACCATCATCACCATCACCATCACCACCACCCTCGCGATCACCATCACCATCACCATCATCATCATCATCATCATCATTATCATCATCATCCTCATAATCATCATCATCATCATCATCATCATCATCACCGTCATCATTATCATCATCATCATCATCATCATCTTCAATATCACCGTCGCCACCATCGTCATCGTTCTCATAACCATCATCGCCATCGTCATCATCATCATCATCATCATCACCATCATCATCATCATCGCCATCGTCATCACCATCATCACCATCATCATCACCGTCACCATTACCATCACCATCATCGTCGTCATCATCATCACCATCATCATTCTCATGATCATCATCTTGATCCTGGCCGTCGTCGTCATCATCACCGTCATCAGTATCATCATCATCATCACACTCATCAACACCCTCAACACCATTCTGACTATCACCATCATCACCGTCATCATCATCGTCGTCACTGTCGCTATCATCGCCAGCGTTCACAACAACATCACCAGCATCAACCTCATCATCATCAGCATCATCATCATCATCAACCTCATCATCATCATCATCAGCAGCATCATCATGACGGGCCCTTCGTCTCCAGAATCTCGCATGTTACTGGTCGAAGTGGTGCTTGGCGTTGGAGCGACGGCCTGCCATCGGAATCTGGCAGAAATGCTCCTGTCGATCCGTGGTCGCCCACCCTCTTTTTCGCCAGCAGCGCATGGTTCTCCCTCGCCAGGGTTGCGCTGATCTACCAGCTCTTCGCCGACGCGAGGCTGTCGCACTGCATCGACTTCGATCGCATCGTTCCCAGGTTTCGCAGGCAGTTGCACGAGATCTCGACGGGTGGGCGGCACAGGTCGCACTTGAGGCGCAAGCGGCTGCTGATGCGAACGACTCTGGCGCTCTACACTCCATCGCGAGACGTCTCCGTTCTGGCCACGATCGCCCGCACGCCACCGTCAGGGACAAGCAGGGGAAGCTCGTCACTGACGAAGCCCTCGTTCAAGATCGTTGGTGTGAGCATTGGGCCGATCATCTCGCTGGGGATCGTGTCCCGTTCGCAGACCTCCAGGTGCTGAACGATGCCGAGTCCATCCCCGACGATTTCCCTCGAGCTGCCTTTTTGGACCTCTGGTACGTCGAAGCGCTGCTGAAGGCGGGGCGGCTCCGGGGCGCAAGGCCACGGGTCCTGATGGTCTCGGACCTGCCGTCTGGAAAGCTGGAGGCGAACCAGCTGCTCTTCTCGCTCAAGCTGTCTTGAATGCTACTCGCCAGTTTGGCCGTTGTCCGCTGGCGCTGAAGGGCGGTCGCATGCAGGACATATGGAAACGCAAGGGGGACAAGGCTGTGACCACTAATAGCAAGGGTATTTCGATTCAGTCTCACCTTGGCAAAGTACACGGTGCCACGCAGCAGGACGCCCTTGCCGAACACTACCCTCGAGCTGTTGCTGACACTCAATGTGGCGCCATCGCTGGCAGGGGTACTTCCACTGCCGCTTACGTGGCAGAGCTGCACTCGGAGTTGGCTCGATCGCTCCGTATTTCTTTCGCACGGGTTTTTGTCGACCTGTCAGCGGTGTTTGATACGGTCTGCAGGGAGCTTGCCATGGTGCCGTCGTTCCAAGATTCAGCTGCTACCGTGCAGGCTTTGAGCGGCATCGGCTTCCCCGAGCACGTGTGCGGCGCCGTGCGCGCGTATATTGCTGAGCATTCTAATTTACTGGTGGATGCCGGGGTGACCCCAGCAGTTTCGCAGTTGGTTGACGACCTGCATCAAAATACTTGGCTCGTTGTCTCCAAGGAGCCGCTGCGCGGCTCGTCCTCTGTCGTCCGCACCAGGAAGGGGCTCGGCAGGGCTGCAAGATAGGCGCGCTGATCGTCAACGTTATCTACGAGTACGCATTGGGCAGGATCCGTACGCGAGCCTCCGACGCGGGCATCTTGCACGAGATCGAGGGCTCACAACCGTGCCTCTGGACGTTGGCCGACGGCGCCATAAAGCCCGAGGCCAAAGGAGACGTGCTTGCAACCTTGTGTGACATCGAGTACGTAGACGATGTGCTATTCATGCTAATGCATGCTGACCCGCGGCAACTTGTGCACAACTCCCGCGCGATGTTGGCCATCATCCTCGATGAGTTCAAATGCTGCGGGCTGGAGTGTAACTTGGCCGCCGGCAAGACGGAGGTTACCTTATCGCTCGTGGGTAAAGGTGCTCGCAAGGCCAAGGCGCAGCTGTTCGACGCCACCGTGAAGCGCCATTTTCTTGCTACTCCTGATGGCCATCGACGTATCGGAGTCGTGAGGGAGTACAAGCACGTTGGCACAGTACGCACAGCGTCCGGCAGCAACATCCCGGATGCCAGGGCCAAGGCATCCAAGTGCCTTGCTGCTTACTATCCTCTGGCCCATCGGATTTTTGGTAACGCTGGTATTGCGGCCTCGACTAGGCTGAGCCTGGCACACTCCCTCTGTTTTTCGCGTTTGTTCTACGGCACGGGCACGTGGCTCGCCCCGCACGCCGACGCAGTGAGAATTCTGAATGAGGCCCGGCTTCGCGTTCTCAGGCAAGTGGCAAACAAGTGTCGATTCCAGAGCACAGGACACGGAACTGATGCTAGCGTGCTTGAGGCTCTACAGCTCCTCCCCACCGATTTGCACCTACTAGTGCTTCGTCTGAGGTCATTGTTTAAGGTGCTCGGCGCAGGGCCACAGGTTCTCGTGGCACTACTGTTTTCGAAAACGCGTTTTTCGCAGCAGTTGGCAAGTGATCTGCAGTGGGCTCGCGAGGCCTCCCCGGCACTGCGAGGTCTCCCCGACCCTTGCCTCGACCCCCAGCCCTGGCTCGCTCTGATCGGCGACCCTACTGGCTGGGCTCACGCATTGTCCCAGGTGGAGCACCGATTCTCCAGGCTCGGCCCCAAAGCGCCTACGCCTGATTTTTACGACGCCAGAGTTGCAGATTTTCCTGAGTCTGCTCCCTGGCCTTGCATGCTTTGCCCCCCGCAGCGCAGACGATGCTGCGAAAGCGAGGCTGCCTTGCGCTCCCACCAGCATAGGAGCCACGGCAGGGCGAATCCTGTGCGACAGTATGTGGAATCCGCGCGCTGCCCAGCGTGCAAGAAGCTTTTCCCGTCGCGGGCGGCTGCAATTGATCATGTGGCATACAGGTCGAAGACGTGTCGAGCGATGCTGGCATGGCTTACTCCTCTGTCTCCCCGGGCTATACAGAAGCTCGACGAGGCCGACCGCCAACGCGCCCAAGAGGTGGGTTGGAGAGGGCTGCGCGGCCATGCCTCCAGCAATGCCTGACAGGTATCGCTCACACTTGGCACATGTTTTTCCCTGGTATCATCACAGCGTTTTGCTCTTATGTCGGTAATCAAACAATAATAATAATGAGAATAATAAACATACTAATAATATTATTAATAATAATAAAAACCATCATCATCATCATCATCATCATCATCATCATCATCATCATCATCATCATCATCATCATCAGCATCAGCATCAGCATCGGCATCATCATCATCATCATCGTCATCACCATCACCATCATCATCATCATCATCATCATCCTCCGCATCATCATCATCATCATCATCATCATCATCATCATCATCATCATCATCATCATCATCATCATCATCATCATCATGATCATCATGAGCATCATCATCATCCTCATTATCATCGTCAGCATCAGCATCTTCATCATCAGCATCA